ACACTGGGACTGCCTTTTAGTTTGCCGTCTTGCAACTTAGTTGCATTTCACAGATTTCTAAACTACTATTTTCTTTTTCCCTTCGTGGTTCTAGCACAAGTCATGCTTCTGCTTCTCTACCAGGTTAGAATAGCTGTGCTACCAAATGACTTTAGTCCTGTAGCATACCAAGCTTGGGCTGGCACTTCACAAGTGTTGTTGAATTTATGGATTTAAGGGCTACAGGTTACAGTTCTGTGGAGAGAGTGGAGAGATGAGTCAGGATCTAGATATTGTTTTAAAGCTAAGGACTAAGGGCAGATATAGGCTTGTGAATGCTGTTTACAAGTGTTATTGTTAAGGAATGCTGGACTCAAATGGGAGTTTTAGAGAAAAATGAGAAGTAAATGAAGTGGATTACTTTCAATATCTCAACGCATCAGAGCTCTGGATCACAGAATCACAGAATGTTAGGGATTGGGATCATCAGAGACGATTCTTCTTGCGGTCTCCTTTGAGGCTCGAAGTTAAGATTAGAAGCCCAAGGATGTGTGTTTGAAGTGGGAAGGAAAACGACTTCAGGTTTTGTTGCGATGCACAAAGCAGCGAAATACTCACAGCTTGTTGTTAGTGGCTCACAGTGGAGCTGTAGAAAGGGAAGATCCATATGTGTGATCTTTGAAAGAACTGTAGCAAAGTGACATCTAGCTTGAAACTAGGTTCGAGTTTGACATTTTCAGTCAAACAGAAGACTACCGCAGGACTGCTTGGGCTTGTGGAGAGGTGAATTGATTACACCTAGAGGCAGAGTGCTGGAATTTTAGCTAGCCTGGTGACTTGCCTAGCTGCTGAAGTTCATGGATGCTGCTATTCAAAGCACTTCAGCTTTGAGTGGCTGTTGTGTAGATATGGCAGCCTAGTTTCTAGTCTGGTGTTGAATGAAATTTAAAGTCAAGCTTGAAATAATTGTCTTTGGTATTTTCCAGTAACTTCCTCTAAAACATGGAAATCTGTCATCCTCTTGGGCTGGCAAAAAGCTAGCTCAAAAAGTGGGGAGAAGTTTTGTGTTGATATTTTATGGTGTGAGGGGGAAAGCCAAAATCCCAAAGTAAACAAAAAAAATCCCATTAAAATATCATGTTCCACCAACCCCTTCTGAGATTTAATTCTAACTGCATTTAGACTTCATCAATTTATCTTAAACAACAACAAAGAAGTGATTTGAAAAGCAAAAGCAGAGTGGAAACAAGCAATTGCATTACTAGAACATCACATTAATGCCATCTGTGGAAATGCTTAACAACTTTGAATTACTGTACCATCAATAGGGTGAAACTCTTGCACAGAGCGCCATGGGCACAGGCAGGAATAGTTGAAGCAATGTTGTTAAATAGGAAGAAAACTGCCAATTGTAGCTGTTACTACAACTGTTGTAGTTGTGTGATCATGGGAGCCCATAGGTTTTTATATAGGGTAGTCCAAGCAATGTTCGGAATAGATGTCTTGGTATGTGCCAGTAATGGCTTCTTATTCTATGTCACTTCAGTTACTTTTCAAGCTCTTCAGTGTGCACCTACTGAAACATTTTTGAGTGTCATTTAAGAATGTTAATATGTGTTCAAGTGTGGTTATGTAAAACTAGCAGGGGAAAAAAACTTGAAACTTTTCCACTGGCTTTTTGTAAACTACAGCTTAATTCAATGAACTAATTTAGTACCTCTATCCCACAGGTCTTTTCAACAGAAAGTGTTATTCAGTTCTAAAGTGTTGGCTAATTTTTTTTTTAAGGAATTTCGAAGTTTTCAAATGGATTTTGAGATTCTATACCAAAATGCTATTGACTTTTCAGTCTACCTCAATGGATGACTTTTCCTTGGATTGGTTAAACTCATGAATACTCTAAGCAGCAACAAATATATCAAATCTAGTACACTTCCTGCAGTTCAGTGAATGCAGCTTGTAAGCGTTCACAGATGCTGTTCCTTAACAGGGCTTTTATAAGGCTTTACTGGTGTCAACAACACATCAGATGTGATGCTGTTAGCTGCCAAAACAATGTATTAAAATTGTCTGTCCATCTTCAGCAAAGCTTATTTGTAAACCTCCCATTAATTTCTCCTGGATTAGAATTCCTATTTGAGGTTTATTCTGACATGATATAAAGTTTTATCAGCTTTTTCTTTCACATGAAACGGACTACAATAAATACCTACTCAATAAAAGTAAAATTCTATGTTTTCATTTGTGCATTCATAAAGCAAAACAAGCCTTTGTTTAATTCAGTACATCAAAGAATATTTAAAAAACCCCTCAAGATTCATTATGGTGGGGACTAGGTCTGGAAGGTTTATTTTAATTTTATACTTATTTAAAAAAATTAACAAATCAAGTCTCAGAAAAGTCATGAGCATGCCTAAATCTTTTCTACAGAATTAATTAAAACCTTCTGTGTGTTTACACATTTTTCCTTTTCTAAATCTACCACCTTCCTGGTTAATCATCTAACAGCTTTGGTACAGTGATAGATTGCCATCAGTGTTAAAGGCATCCATCTTTTCAGCTTCCACAAGTGCTAGAAACAATGGAGCTGAACTGCTAGGTAATCCTGGTGATATTCCATAGGATATGCAGAGACCGGATGGTTATTGGTATCCATGAAGCCAGGATGCATGAGCTATTTCGTATTTCAAGAACGGTGTTCCAGAGTGTGTCTTCCTGCATATCTGCTTTTGAGGGAAAAAAAATCTCCTCCAATTAAATTCAAATACAATCACTGCAGCAGTTGCCAATTTAAGGGCAAGGCTGTAGTGTAGTATTCAGTGACATATTGATCTTTAGAATACTTTTTCTTGTTTTCTTGATGATTCTATGAACACCCCTCCTTCCCTCCTAAAGACAGTGTAAAGCTGTTACTCTGTGAATAGCTGTTACTGTTGTGAAATGAGTCTGTTACTTACGTAACCACACTTTTTACATCTTTTTTGTTTTGTGGATGGACCTGTTCACTAATGGTATACAGTCATGAGATTGACTGAGAACAGTGTCTTTTAAAGATGTTGGTATCATGGCTTGGCTTTTTCATCAGCCCTTCCTTCCAGGTTGTGTGTTAGAAACCACTAGTTTGGTGTTCTGGGTGCTTGCTTTGCTTTCACGGGGACAGACTAAGATTTTTTCAAGTTTCCCTGATGAGTTGCAGGATCCATAGATCACAACCAATGCTTACTAGAACACCTTGTATTAATCAAGGTATTATTAATACCAACAGTTTGATTCCATTACTGGCAAGTAACTATTAATACAGTGCAAGCAGTTATTCCCAAACATGCTTACTCAGTTACTGGGTTGGAACAACAGCTGGGAGACCTCCACAGAAGCGCTGGGGTGTACTAATGCAGTAACAGCTTCTGTGTGGGCATTCAAAAACAAGGTCTCAAGGTGCTCTCTTTCATCAGGTGTATATGCAATCCCACACTTCCTGCCTGCCTCCTATAGCAGCTGCTGCTTTCTTGAATGCAGTCTTTTTCCTCTTTTTAGCAAGCTGTTGTTCACAGTAATGTGTGCTGGTGGCCTTGGGTAGAGCAAGCAGTCTTGGTGTTACGAGTTTCTCCGTTCTCCTGGATTCCCTAGGGCTGTTACTCTTGAGCTTAGTGGTTCCTGGGAGACTTTCACACTTTTGTCAGTATCTGCTTCTTCCTCTCTCCAGCTTGCTGTTTTCTGATTGCTAGGTCTTCAACTATACACAAGTATCTGTAGTCTGTTCACACAGACTTGCACAGAAGGGATTTTTGTGACAGACGTTTGCTTGTTTCTCAAATAAAAAACTTTCTGCGAACTGAAAAGAGAGTTTATATTTGAAAGCTATACAATGCCTTACAAATGCAAACAGTTCCTAATTGTAAAACTATGTTGCATGGTCAGAAACCCTGACAAGCGCTGGAATTTAAGAGCGACTGCGCTTTTCAGGCAGATTGCAGTTTTTGAAGCATGCTACTTCTATCAGGGCAAAGCCGAGAGACTGTTTCTGTCCAGAAATGTGAATGCATTCTCTTTGAGAAGAACATGTATTTTAAAATAGAGCAAATGCTTTAAGTGAAGAGTAAACCTGAGGATCTTTTTCTAGAGGAAGAGTGTGAAAGTAAAGGTTAGCTAGTTAGCACTGTACAAAAATGTCTTCTGATAAAAGTGCTCTATATTCTGTTCACTCAGAGATCAACTTGTAAGCATCCTGAGAAGTAACCTTACAGACTACTTAACTTTTAATCCCTCTGTGTTATTCCTAAATTTCTGGGAAGTAACTTTCCAGTATTCAGAATAAATGCACTTCTTTCTTTCATTTTCAAAGCACTTGTACATAGCATGCTCTGTGAGAGCTTGTGATTGGAGTCAAATAGTACAGCCGTGTATCTAGACAAGTCGTTGCTAATATGATTTTGTGATGGTTGACTTTCTAAGTAATAATAGAGAAATGCAGTTATCTGCCTGTTTGAGTGTAATTGCCTTAGGCACTAGCAAAGGTTATCTGCTAAACTGAAGCTCTGTCCGTGTTGTGAAAGTTGAAGGTGTGAAGATTGCAGAAAATGTTAGTAGAAGTAATAGTTCACCATTTATTTTTTTTTTAAATCTATAAGTTACACAGTGATTTCCAGCTGTTTTCAGTCTCCAAATAGTTTCAGAAGATACACTAAAACAAACCCCAAACAAAAGTCTGAGAGCTGTTGCATACTGCTAACTTACATTTAAATTTAAGAAAGTGTCTGATATTACTAAAAGAGGTTGATATTTCATAAATTAGCTTGGAATTCAGAGGTAAAACTGAGTGTTAAGTACAAATATGTTAGTATCAAAGCGCCTGTAATGAAAGCTGCTTCACTTCAAGTTAATTATTTTAAAGTATAAGAGAAAGCTAAGATAGCACACTGTGCATTTGCTGAGCAGTAAATCTTTCCAGTGGTGGACTTGGTTTAAAGAAATGTAAGTGGGTACAAATATCATTTGTTTATATGCCTATAATAAACAAAAAGAAAACCCTCTTCTCTTTTCAGAAACTTTTTTGCTAAAAGGACAAAGGAACTCAAACCTGCTGTCCAAAGTGCTCCTGGTTGGAAGTTGTTTGGAAAAGTCCCACCCAGGGAAAACCTTCCGAAAGATTCCAAAATTATTCAGCAGGTAAGTAAACGTCACACAACTCTAGGTACAAAACTTTTGAAAATTCATGCATAGGTATCGCAGTTCTCTACTGTTATCTCCACGTTGTTACTATACAACCATAGAGTGCTCTGGGAAGACTCTTTTGGGGCTTTGTCTAAATAATAGTTACTGAGAAGGAGCGTGAGTTTTATAATCATCTAGTACATCCTTCAGTACATCTCAGTGCTTACAAAAAGGTGATACATGTTCAAAAAGTGTTTAAACTGTTTATGTCAAATCATCAGAACTTGTATTAATTTCCCATAAAATTTTTTGCTGTATTTAACATGATATGCTACAATTTTTTTTAATGGTAAAGTGATTGTGAAATACTCTAGACTTCCTTTATGAAGTTCAGTTCTGAGTTACTTTTGCCTGTTTTTTGCAATAAAACCGTAGTCTTACTTGTATGTTCAATTTTTCTTCAAATTAGATATTACTGTAGTAAAATCTATCCTCTGAAAGCATTCTTGGATATTCTAGTGTTACAAAACTGTTTGGTGTTTTGTTTTGTGGGATATTTTTTTTTTTAATCTAACTCATCTTTCCATAGTCGTCCTTGCCTGGAAGACTTACTATATGGGTAACTTGTGAAAAATTGCGTACAATTCTGAAACATGTTTCACTGAATCTTGTTTCACTTAAAAATACCTTAGGTGAGATTAAAAGTTTGTTTCAAAATAGTACTGTAAGTTGAGCTTGTTTTAGAGTCACTGGGGTACTACGGAAAGGTAGTTCTGACTTCCTTCTCCTGATACCAAGTTGCACTTGCATATATCATTCCTATGGAGTCTGTCTTTAATTTGATAAAATAATAATAAAGTACCATAAAGATGAGCAATTGGTAATGTATCATTAACTTCATGTTAACTTGCAATCCTGAAGTTGAAAGATTTGTTGACATAAGAAATGTGAGTGTCCCTTGTGTTGATGAAAACAGTAAGTTGAATCTCGAGAGCTGCTTTCTTTTTGTCTCCTTTCTTAAATTCCGTATAAGCTGATGTGTTTGGCAGGTGCAAAAGCCTGTGAATGAAATGATGTTCAGCGATATTCTAGAAAGAGCTTCATGGTGAAGAGGACCTTTTGGGAGCAACTAAAGTGAAAAATGAGAGGTTCTTTTTGAAGGACTTGTAATGAGACTGGTCATGCAATGAAATGTTGCAGGAAAACAATGAGATTGCAGCAAGTGCTATTTATTTTGAAGTAAACTGGATACTTTTTCAACATTTTCAAATGCAATTTTCCATATTTAAATGATTTCCCCTTTTTTTGAGAAAGGGCAAATGTTCTTTCTTAGTTTACTTGAAGATAAATGCTGTTGGCCTTGTGCTATGAGAATACTGTCGTATAAATCCAGATGTGTCTTCCATCCTGAGAAATGGTGAATGTGCACAATGCTACCAGTCATCTGCTTCCTGATTCCTAGTAATGATGATGTTTGTTCTGGAGACCCAAGTCATAATCTGCAGAAATAGTCTTATTTTCTTATCCTGTTGCCCTTAAGTGACTGTTTATCTTTTCAACTGTGGCGATCTCATTTTTTTAACTTCTCCAAAGTGGCAGAAAAGCAAATATATTAAACCAATATATTGTCTTTAAACACGAGTTGGTCCTAGCCACTGGTCATGTGGCTTGTGTTACAATGGTTGCCAGATTAGGGTCACTGTTGGATTTATATAATCTTGAGTACAAGTGTCAGTAATAGCTAATATTTTTAGCTTCTAATTTACCTAAAGCATGCATGGTCTTTAGATAAAGCATCACGAGCTAAGATATACAGTTATCAAAGGGGGATCCGGATTGGTGGTATATTCTGCACAGAGTTATATCTACAATACCTGACAAAATTTGATTCTTCAGTTGAGAGGTGACCCTAATGCCTCCATATTTAACGTACGTCAAATGTCTTGCATGTGTGTTTAAAATTTACAATATAGCTCCTTGTGCATATGCCTTTGAAGAAAAGCCAATGGTTTCTTTCTGAGAAATGTTCAAATTTGCTAAGCTGGCAATGGGTTAGAATGAATATAGGCACACTTGGTTATTGAAGATCATTGGAAAATAGTATCTTCACTTTTGAATGGCTGACTGAAGCCCCTAGACTAAATTTCTTACTATTACAGGAGATGAGTTAAAAAAATGTGGGCAAGAATGCAGTTATGAGGCCTTTAAGAAGTCGATAGAAATATGATTAAAGCTTAGTATGTTCTGTTCACAAGTCATCCTGTGAACCTGGCAGAATACTTCATATCCTGCATGGAATGTCTCTACAAACTTCCACATTGATTTTTCTAAATTGAAGTCAAGGGATAAAGTGTGATCTGAAATACAAAACCTGCATTTTTTTTTCCCATTTATTTTTTAGCCATTTGTGGTCAGAACAGTGACTATTCACTGTTTACCAGCTTTTGTAAAATGAGCTTCTAGGTGTAAGACTGTGCAGGTAGAATATGCTTAAACTGTAGGCAAGCTGCCTATTAGGGAGTTTATGGTAGTTATTATTAGCTACAAATCTTGCCATTCCTGAACAGCTGTGACATTCTCCATGGTTGAACACAAAATTCTGTGACTTTACTGATGCTGGTAGCCAGCTTTGGGAGGGTGCAAAAAAACCCTCGATTAAGGAAACTCAGTAACAAGTCAGCATCCTTCCAATGAAGGATAAGACCTTAAGAAGCCTTTTGTAGGAAAAATTAGCTCACAACAGAAAAAACTTTACAATTAATAGAAGGAGGAAGTCTTTTGGGTAAGGGTAAAACTTGTATCAAAGCTTTATGGCAATATTGTGAGGCTTAAAAGACTTTCCTATTAGTAAAACAATAAAAAAATAGCATCATTGTAGATTTATGGTCAAAAGAGTGGTAGAGCTCACATACCCAGTTTCCATCATGACTGATGGAAGCCTCCTGTGTTGTCTTTGTTTTGGTAAGGATGATGTAGTAAATGGATAATTACATTTAAATGAATGCTTGTGGCTCCCAGTCACTGTCTATAAACTAGATGTTGCTATATATGCCTCTACAGAGAAGTCAGGTAGTGATTCTAATGTCTTGAGTAACTTCCAAGAAAAGCTGAAAACGTGATTTGGGATACTGTTTCAGACATTTTTCAGACAACGACGCTAGCCAGCTCTGCCTTCAGAGACTGTCTAATGACTATTGCTGTAAATAACTTCTTTGCAAATTTCTTACCATATGTAGAAGAAGATAAATGTTTTTGTGGAGCAGCAGCCTGCAGGGCTTGGCTGGCTGGGGAGGTGGCAGAGTCCCCTGCAGCTGTGCTGCCATCAGCGTGCTTTGGGCAAGATGCTCCTGCTTGAACTGGGTCAGAGGTTGAAAGTTCTTGGCAGCTGCATCTCCCTGCTCGCAGCTGCTGGCACGCTTGACTCTCCTTGGATTTAGAGCTGCCCAAGCAGGATGTGATCGAGGCCAACTCTTTTGCTGGACATCTCCCTCCTCTGGGCTTCCTTCCTTCACTGTTTTTGGAAAAGGGAAAATAGCAGCTCCTCAGGACTGCAAATGTGAAATGCGTTTGATGGTTTTGGGAAGTGTGCCTTTTTCATGCACTGCAGCTAATATAACTGGCTGTTATAAGAAGTATGTGGTCATTAATGATCAGTCTGGTAAATTCTTTTTGGTCTGTACAGAAATCTGCTTTAAATTATACTGCTGAAATATTTTAATACAGAAGCATTTAAACCAGAAACTGACTTGTGGGCTGATGCATAACATTTTGGTGTGTATTGACTGAAATACAAGTTCTGTTTAAAAATGCAAGCTCAATTTCATTTGGTTTGTTCTTATGACTGAAGAAAAGAGCTTTTAATCTATAATCAAAATGATTGTGAATATCAAGTCATTAAGTTTAGTTCTTATTTTTGTTAAGACACTTTTGAATACTTTGTTTAAAAAAGTATGGTGATTTTTTTTCCCTAATATGCCTAAACTAAAGTGAATTTGAAGTTCACATTGCAAGATAAATAAAATATACACCAAATTCATTTTGTCAGCAGTTTTAACAAAGTACTGTCAGTGACAGCATTAAATGGGGGCGTGGGGAGGGGGGAGCTTCTTTTCTATTTAAATGGGATAAACCATGAAAAGCTTGCAGTGATTTAGAAATGATTGCTTATTCAGAAGTGAAGCTATCTTTTCCAAAAGCTGTCACCTTGTGTACAAAATGGAAGGTATTAATTTTAGACAGTCCATTAAATATGAACTCTGATTTCGATGGCTGGGTCACTGTTCTGCAACTAACCTCTGAAAATATTTTTTTTTGGGTGGCTCAGAAATCTTAAAAAACAAACCAAAACCATCGAAATTGTACTTTAGGGCTGAAAAACTCAGTGTCTTCACTTGCATATTTTTCCAATGTTGTTATCTCCAGTCTGAAATCTAATGGAGAAATTGCGTTCACTGAATGGGCAGAACTCTCATGGTCTCCAAGGGACAAGAGTTGTCAGAGGCCTCTCTTCAGAGGAACAGATGTGTTTTGAATCGGTTTTCATACAATGCAGACCTAACTTGCAATATTAACTCTTCCCTTCAATCTTTGTTTTTTCAGTTTAACAGTGCCTGAAGCTTTTAATGCTTAGAAAGTATATACAGCATGTTTGTCAGCAAATCTAAGGACTGAGTATCTGAAAGAAGTAGGTAAATACAATGCTAGATGTGTTTTCACAGGAGTGGTTCTTAAGCAGATAGTTACATAGGCAGAGGTGACGTTTGCTTGTCTTGCACTACTACTGGAGAGAGGAGAAAGCCCAGAATTCTGTCTGTTTAGCAGATGTAGGTAGAAATACATTGGTAATAAGCTACCTTGAAACCAGTACAGGCAATAGATGGGGGTATTGGGTCTTCCAAGGACCATGTAACACTTGAATAACAATTTGTCTACTAGCAGCAGTGAGAAGGCTGTGATGGTTTTCTTTGTAGACACTGTAGTGGTGAAGTTCTCCAGAAATATCTGTCATCTTTTCA